CGCCGCCGCCGCCGCCGCCGCCGCCGCCGTCGTGGGAGCGGCGGTCCGACCGGAGGCTCCGGTTCTGCCGGAGAGGCCGATCTCTCGAGCGCGCTGAGGGAGAGGAATGTATTTACCCTCCCTACAGACAAAGAGAGGAGGTGAGAGGAATTCTGGGAAGAAGAAGATGATGATGACGGATTTCAGGAAGTAAAAGTTAAACTTCTTCATGAGGGTGCCATGAACCTTAAACATGAAACAATCGTTAACAAACAAAGTCAGTACAAAGGTATGAATAATGCAAATTTGTGAAACTCCTCCGTCATCACTGACGACGTTGAATCAGAAGCTATGAAGGAAAGAAGTATAGCATCCGTCTGTTTCACCCAGAACTCTACGACACTTCACATCAGTACAGAGACCAGATACACGTGTGTATGAACCAGACGGTTCAAACAATAACACGCTGCTGTATTCACGACTAGATGACGTCATGTTGAGTGTTGATGGAGCAGCTACAATGTTAGCTTAGCATAGCCCCGATGGAACCAGACTCCATTCACAAAACTTTAAAAGTTGTTTACTTGTCGTCTTGAGAGTTAAATAACAAAACATGAACTCAGACTTTTTACAGATGGTCGTCATCATGTAGATATTTCTGCATCACTTGTATGTTTATTGTGATTAGATCACAGCTGAATGTTTTATTTAGTGTTCATAGCGCTGAAGTACAGCAGCATGGATCATGTGATGAGTTTAGTTTCCTGACATCTGGACTTTAACAAGTACAGAGCAGCACTCGTGGTTATTTCTTCCACTGTTGATGGAAGAAATAAAGGATAAGAACTCGCCTCCCGGTGGACGTGAACCCAGGGCTGGTCCGGTCCTCCCTCTCTCGGACCACCGAGCTGTACTTGTCCTCCTCGCTGCGGCCCTCGTCGTTCTCCAGAGAAACCCTCCGGCGGTACTGCAGGCTGCCCTCAATCTCGTTGGCCAGACGAGCAGCTCGAGCTTCCCGCTGACGGAAGACCTCGGAGGTCCCCTTCTCCAGAGGCATGCTGGGAGAAAAGACACCGGAGACACAAATACGACTTTATACTTTGCTTTGTCTGTCAAAGATCTTTGTGAACTCTGTTTTTAAAGCTGCTATATTAACAGAAATAGAAGAAAAATAAGAGTTGAATCAGTTAGAAACGGCTATGAGATGGATTATAAACCTTTTGCTAATTTAGATTACATTTATTTTGGGGCATTTAAAAAGAACCGTGCGCTTATTATTATTACTATATTTCTGTAAAAACACATTTTTATTATCTGGCTTTTAACTCACCATTCTATATTAGTGTCTTTTAAACATGTCTCTTGTGTTTTTTTTCAAATATTTTGATTGATTAGTCAACTGCTGTTTTAAAATGTGCTCTATAAATAAACTTGTTTCCTTTCTGTTCTGATTTTACTCACAAAGATCAACATTAAAATCAGAACCCACGTGTTGTAAATGTCTCCCTCATAGTTTCACATAAGAGAGTTCGATGTAATGAACTGAGTTATGATCATAACTGACGGGACAGTAACAGCCTCTGACTCACGTGTACATGGAGAGGCTGGAGTCGTAGGTGGACTTCACTCCGTACGTCTCCTCGTTGAACTTGAACATCTCGTTGGCGTCCCAACCGTTAGACTGAAAGAGAGAAAGAAAAGAGCTTATATATAAATATATATTTCAGTGTGTGTGTGTGTGTGTGTGTGTGTGTGTGTGTGTGTGTGTTTGTGTGAGTGTCTCTCACCGTGTCGGCCTCTAGTTCAAAGTTTTCTCCGTTTCCATTCCCGTCCCACCTCTGCAGGATTTTTTCCCGGTGGTCCCCGTTCACCCGCGACGAGCTGATGGACGTGTCGGTGAACGTGTCTGAACACACACACACACACGCGCACGCACAGACACAGAGACACACACACACACAGAGAGAGGTCAACACTTATTCTGCCTCCTCCAAAGAACAGCACATAAACAAACACTGATATCGATATAATTCAATAATTTGCGTCTTGTTACCTCTGACAGCAAAGTTGAGGTCGACGTCTCGGCAGGTCATGGTCACCAGGTCGCTGGGGCTGAAGATCATGGTGTCAGTTATATCCTCGATCTTAGGAGGAGAGGACGGGCTTCCTCCTCCTTCCTCTCCTCCTCCTCCTCCATCTCCATCGCTCTGTTTATGGACAGCATCCACAGCCAGCTCGCACTGAAAGCAGACAGAAGAGGACTCAGATCAACGTTGTGCAAACTGTAAACTCTTAAAGAACACAGAGAAAGTGTGAAGAGCTTTTTATGTATTTTACCTGAGAGCTTAAAGTCTTGAAGATTCCTTCATACGCGGCTCCGTTTTTAACTCTCACATCACAGGTGGAGCCCTGAAACCAGAAGAAAGCTTCAGTCTGTTTGTTCAGGTACGGAGGTTCCATTCAGTTACGTTATGGTGCGTTCAAGCTCCGTCCGATCTTATTATTGGCCTATATTCAGTAAGATCGGTATGCAATCAGGACATCATTCATGTGTTTCTAGCCTCTGATCATGTTTCATTGTAAACAACCAATCAGTGTTTAAAGCAACAGCAGGAGAGCTAGTAACGTTAGCAGCACCGCTAACGGCTAACCAACAGG